GGCCGGGGTCCGGCCTGGCGGGGACCGAGCGGGGATGGAGCGTAGGCCGGGCGGACGAGGTCGGCGGCGCGGCCGGGCTCTGCAGAGGCCGCGGTCTGCCGGGGCGGGGGATGCGCACGGATTTATCAATCAGCGCCGTGCGCTGGGGCTCTTAAAGGCACCGGCGCCCGGCGAGCGGAGGGCGGGGCCGCCAGGGGAGACCTGGTCTGGCCCCGCCCCAGCCTCTCGGAACTCCCCTCCCCAGCGTGGTTCCACTTTAAAGAGACTTGACGTAGCGACACTGCCTTCAAGGGATGGGAACTGTCGCCACCGCGGCCACCTGGCCTCGGCGGAACAGCTCCAAGGGTCCACCCCAGACACTAGGCGGATGCTCATCCCTGCAGTGCAGGCTAAGTGCGGGCGGTGTTGAAGGAAAGGCCCAGGGGTCTTGGGGGGCGGGGGGCGCACTCCAAGACCCGCCTCCCAGCCGAAGGATGCAGGTGGCGAATTTAAGAGTACCCACGAGCCCTTGTCCAGCTGCAGGCAGAGAGATGGGAACGGGCTGACGAGGACCGTGAACTCCGAGTCGAGCTTTGGAAAATAGTTTAATGACCTTTTTTCTGAAGCGCTCACCGCACCTGTGAGGGCCTAGGGTCTCGCCTAGTCCAGAGTCACGTCCACATCCACCAACATCTAGGAAGAAAGGTGACGGGAAGAGGCTAGATGGGGCCTAGTGAGAGCCCAGAACTCCGGGGCGTTAGAGGCTCCCAAGGTCAGAGGATGCACAGCCGTGAGCTGGGGTGAGGGGAGAGGAGAGATCTATTACATTGTATTGTATTGGACCCAAGTTTGGGGCATCGGGTTGGGTGGCTGGCTGGAGGTCTCTCAGCAGGGCTTGGGGAGTCGGCCAATAAAGGCTAAGTATTGATCAGCAGGTTGGGATCCCGGGATATCCCAGGAGAGACTGATTGATGGGTTTACGTGGAAGTAGGTGGAGCTTGTCTCAGCCAGAAGGCTCTTGGGAAAGGAGGGCTTGGCACTTGATAGGCTGATAAATGTGACCTGGATCTGTAGGCTGGAACCTCAGACCTTAACAAAGTGGGCCCAAAGGGTTTCAGAGGAATGGAATCTCTGCAGTTCAGTTTTGGGGCTTCGGGACCACCCGACCGGGAAGGGAGGCCTTCAATTTGGCAGGGGTGCATTTCTTAGGTGATTGTTAGCCAGGTCCGGAGGCAGGGTATTGGGTAGGTAACTGGGCCAAGCTTACCGAGCTTCTGGGGTTCCCGTCTATTTGCAAGGAGTCGAAGTCGAGACCAGGGCCGAGCAGACGCAGGGCAAAGTGCACACAGTTGCTACGGGTAGGGTGGTAGGGAGGAGGGTCTGCGTCCATGGCTTCACGCACACGGCGCTCCAGCACCTTGCGATCAACGCCGCCGCGTCTACGCAGCACGCGCCAGAGAGTGCGGGAGCGTAGCAGCGGGCGCTGCCCCTGTTTGCACACAACACCTTCCCAGGACTCCAGAAACGCGTGTGGCCCTCGACCCTCGGGATTCTTGCCTGCAGGGATAGCCGGACAGTGTGGATGAGAGCCAGGCGTAGGACCCACGCTGGGACTCTGCACCTGCATTTGCCACAACCCAATAGGTCTCATACTCCGGCTGCACAAGTACCTTTGGGGCCTTCAGAGATTAATACCCAAGCCCGGGACCACAGTCTCCATCCCTATGTGGCCGGCTCACTGGTGAGGCGTGGCCTGACTGGGACTTGGGCCTGTTCCAGCCAGGAGTGCTCACCCTCGAAGTGGATGATTTCTCCGTGTCCGCAGTACACGCCCACGTGGGCCCCGCACCAGCGCCCCGAGGGCGACATCAGTCTGAACAGGAAGAGGTCTCCCGGCTCAGGCTCGCTGCTGTCCAGCTGCACAACGTCAAAGTGCTGACCCAGGAAAGCCTCAGAGAGGAAGAACTTAATGGTGCTGACTGCTCCGGTCAGGGTCTGGAGGGAAAAAGGGACAGGCCACAGGGCATTTGCACAGGTCAAGATGAGAGGAGCTGGGTCCTTCCACTGACCAGAGGGCCAGATGGTTTGCTTGGTGCAAGGTGGAATGTCCTCACTGCCACCCTTCCTGAGCCCAGGGCAGTCTGGAGTCATGAACATCCCTGATAATCCTGCCCTGAGATGCCCCTGAGAACCTCGTAGTCCCCAGCAATTGGGACCTCGTCCCCAAATTCCTGTCATTCCATCTCTCCTCCCCCTGCTCTAGGGCCCCCTTCCCCAACCACCTGTGGTGTGGCCACTCTCTGGGACAATGCCCCTGAGGAGGTGTCAGCTGGTGCCTGGCTGAGCAGACCTGAAGGAAGGGGGAGCCCTGAGGGAGAAGTGGAGCCAGCACAGGCGTCTCCCCGTCTCCCCGTCTTGGTAGAGAAAGAGCTCTCCAGCAACCTCGGCAGCAAACATCAATGAGCTGCTGCTCCTTTGATCTTTTTTGTGATCACGGAATCCCCATTTTCAGGGAAAGGGAACAGGCCCATGTACCAGAGCGTGTATGTCCCCAGAATGCCCACGGCGAACACACGCCCGCCTGCTCCGTGCCCTGTGCCCACTGCCCTACACGTCAGTCACCCCTTACCTCTTCTTCCTTTGTAAGGAGGCGAGAAATCCATTTAGTTCAGACTTCTGTCTTTACTGGGAGCAGAAGGCTTGTGGGATTTGGGAAGACAGCCCATTGCTGGGCTGAGCCCGAGCTTGGAAAGGGGATGAGCCATGACCCGCAAGGCACTGGGCACCTATTGGGTGGGAATGACTCTTGCAGATGTGACTTGGGTGGGAAAGACCACAGATAAATGGAGACCAGGGCTGCCGTGGCCACGTGGCAGAATGCCAGCCATGTTGGGGTTCACGGTGTCCCTCCCACCTGGTCCTCCCTTTCCTCCGGGCCTGTCTTTAGTATCCTCTGCTTGTTGCTGGGGGAGCCTCATTTTCTCAGACTGGACACTATGGAAGACTCAGGTGACCGACTCATCCCAGGCAGAAAGGCTGCAACTTCCCACACCTTAAAGTAGAAAGCCTGATCTACCAGGAACCTGGGGAAACCTGGGCAGCGGTTCACCCTAGACTTGGGCCTCTCTCGACCCCATCCCTCCATTCCCCTTGACGGTAGAAGGCTGCCAGAAGGTCATCTGGACAGTTGTCCACAGGTGGCGAAGGCCACTTGGTCCCAGCCTCCCTCTGCCTCCACACCCACTGGGCAGGCAGAGGGTACAGGTGTAGGAGGGAGCACTGCTGGTCCCTTTGGAGAGGGTCGGCAGCCTGCCTGGGGAGAAGACAAGGTGAGGCGAGGACTTCTCCAGTTACCTGGGATGCGAAGCTCATCTAGGGAGAAAAAACAGAAAACAAAACAAAAATGGCTATCAATACCTGGCCGCTGAGGTGAGGACTGGGGGTGCTCTGGAGTGGCCGTCTGTCAGGGCACGGTCCTGCGGTCGCACTCATGCACCTGCATTCATTCAGGAACATAGGACTGGGAGACCTGGGTCTGGCTGTGCCACCTCTCTATGTGGGACATCGAATAAGCCACTTCCTCTAGCCTGGCCTCAACTTCCTGATCTGTGAACTGGGACAATAAGCTGGGTACAAAGGACCATTGTGAGGCACCGAGCGAGGGTGAGCGCTGTGAGCTGGACGAGGTAGAGGGTGGGGCCTGTTTATCTGAGGGCTGACACTGAGCACATGGATTTGGGTGCTGGGAGGCGGGGAGGGGGACACCCATCTATCTCAGCTCAGAGGAGAAGAACAATGGGCCCTCAGAGGCTGGTGGCCTCTCTGTGACCCCTGCCCCAGAGCAGGGAATCACCCAGCTGGAAAGGCCCTGGGGAGCAGGGCCCCCCCTCTGACTCGCCCTGTGAACGTTCTTCAGTGCCGGTGGGGGACAGGGGATCCCTGGACTTTTGAGTGAAGGTTTAAAATAAGGAGATGCCCTCTCAGATGGGGGATCCTGCTCCACAGTGGGTGTTTCAGACATAAGGATTCATTGCCGGAAACTATGCGAAAGCCCCACTGAGCCCGAACAACGGCGTAGAGACCGTTACCATTCCCATGCTGTGGGTGGGGGAACCGAGGCTTGGAGAGGTTCCCAAGTTAGGGCCTGTAAGTGGGAGAACAGGGCTCAAGTGGTTAAGGACTGGGCTCGAACCCTCGTGAGAGAAACAGCCACCCTTCCCGGTAACTTTCGTCGAGCCAGGCCACCATTCTCTGTAAGAAAGGACAGAGTGAGGCTCTGGAGCTGTGGGAAGCCTGGGGGACAGAGTCCCAACCCTGGAGACCTGGCCTGCTGAGGGCACTACCTGCTCCTTCAGGGCTCCATGCTGCCATCTTGAATTCTCCTTCCTCTCACCCTGACTAGGGCTTTCAGGAGAACCAAGCGGGGAGGGCGACCCTGAATCGGGGTACAGGGACGACGGGCAGTCTCTCTGGAGCCCAAGGCTCTGCCCTTCCCCAAAACCACGTCCCTGAAGATCTCAACCAAACGAGGACCCATCCCTAGGGTCACAGCAGCCACTTTTGGCCGGAACAAGATGGGGGCCATTTCCCAGCAGACTCTGCGCTGGCCCCTCCTTGCTCGCCCCTTCCATCTCAGCAGTGAGCCCACCTGAATCCGAGCCTGAGCTCAGGCAGCTCACCTCGCCGTGGCCACGCTCCACACCTTGCTA